CAAAAAAAGGGGGAGAATGACGATGAAGAGAATTGCGCTATTTTTGTTCTTTACGTTAGATACTTTTTGTGAAGTTAGGCAGTCAATGTATTTTTTTTTGGATGTGCTCCATTTGTAAAAAGTTTGTATGATTGCTTTGATTCTCATAGCCTAATATATCCTTTTATCCCACCTTACCTAAGCCCCATTACAACCCATTTAAACCCTTTGATCTTGTGTATTCATATTGATTCTTGGGTGGACGAGTGTGATATATTTGCAAGTTTATGGTAAAAGTTTTCATTGTCTTGACTTGAGCGTTTGTTTTGTATGTACGTATAAAAAAAATCAAAAAAAAAGAGAAGAAAATGAAGTGCGATTTTTCAGTCTGTGTAAGAGTGGTGAATGTGTCGTTATTTCTTTTGTGCTAACTTTGATTATACCGTTCACGTTTACCTTTCTTTTTTTTAGGCATGCTTTTTAGGCATAATTAGGACATGCATTCTTGGTGAATATAAAAGCTATGATCTTGTTTTCTTGTGCGATTTGTGAATCATGGAACTATTTTCTAATTCTTTGGATAATTGTTGGTGCTTTCTGTGGAGTGAGTTCGCGAGTTTCGAGATCTTGGGTGACTATGAGATTGACGTTCATAAGGATTGTAACGTTCATATTTACGGTTTTTGATTTTCATGAGGGGATATAATTCTTATTGATTTTGTTGAGTTCGTAATGAGTTTATTTGCGTGTCAATCCAGTTTATGTGCCTTATATATTAGTTGCTTCTTGTTGTGCTTCATGTTAAGCCGTGCCCACGCCTTAGAAATATTTGTTGCTGTTTGCTTTGTGTTGTTGGTTCTGTTTTTTTTTGTTTTTTGTTTTTTGTTTTTTTTTAAATNTTTTTTTTTGGCTTTTTTTTGCTGTTTCTTTCTCTCACGTTTTTTTTGAAGGCTTATCTCTGTCCCAGGCAAAAATTTCACGATTCATAGGGTTTCTCTCTAATTTCAAATTCCTAATCTCAAATTCTCTCCGGCAATCTCGTTCATCACTCACAAATTTGATGGCCCCCCGTCGATCGACCAGAAAATCGGCTCCGACTGGTCAATTCACGCCGGATTTCTCTCTGCCGCTGGACGAGGAGTCTCGCCGTGTTTTTTTTTTCGTCGCCGGTCACAGCAACTCGTCGTCCGCCCGCGCCTGGTCATGGTTCGCGGCGACCGTCTCTCCATCGTGATGTCGAATCTCTTCCGGCGAGGGCCACTCCCGCTCCTCTGGTATCCACTCGCGGCCCGAAGCTTTCGAGTAGGCGCTCCAGACGGGATTCTCACCGAAGTGAGACCGTGCTTCCACCGTCGCGGCGACCGACCCACCATGGTAATGACGAAACTCTGCCGAAGACGCACTCTTCCGCTCTTCCCGTCTCTGCTCGCGGCCCACAGTCTAGACTCTGAACGGGCATCTCGCGGTGGTGAGAGCGTGCCTCTGCCGTCACCAGCCGCGCCCGGCTCCCCGACCATTCTTCCGTCGTCCCAAGTAACTGTTTCCTTTTCTCTTGGACTTGACATCCAAACCGAGGTATGAATATTTGATCTGCTGATGGAATTGATATTCTGCCGAGCGATGCTTCAGTAGCCCAAGGAAATGATAAAGCAAATAGCAATAAAGTTGTACCCAACATATTTTTTTTGTTATCCGTTTGTGGATGCTGTGGAGGGCATCACTCATGTGCTGAAGTCTAGCGAGTACCATGGCCGGAATGATTAGTCCTATAGATTTCAGACGGATATGGGATTCTGGAAGGTTCATATACAGGGTTTTAAGTCCGGTGAATATGGTTTATACACTTCTCATTAAGCGGAATCTGCTGTGGTTCTTGCAGAATGGAAAAGTGGGACAATCCTCGATTTCTAACTGTTCAGGGAATAATGCAGAGAGGGCTAAAGATTAGGGCATTGGTTCGATTTATTTTGGATCAAGGTGCATCAAAGAATCTCAATCTCATTGATCCTGCTTGAGTTGAGGGGGAGTCGAAGCCGCGCTCGGGACCTCGCCATTCTCATATTCTACAGTTCATGTTTTCTGACCAAAAAGGGGGAGATGGAGAGCGAAGATTGTAGTGTCATCGAAGACTCGACTTTATCACTGTTTGCATTTCTTAACCTTAACTCTCTTACATTTTACTATGCATTTGTTTAGGGGGAGTAATTGTTTTCTGTGGGAGTTTGTATTATTTTTGTTTTTGTTCAGAAAAGCAAAAAGGAGGAGATTGTTAAATACGTATTTTAGTAGAATAAATATTTTGCTTTTCTGATTTATTTGTGCATATTTTTGTATTTCTTTTATATTTAGTATAATATTGTTTTTATTTGGTTCCCTTTTATTATTTGGTTTCCTTGTGTTATTAGGTGTCTTGCTAGGAAAGAAAAAGATAAGAGGGAAAGAGAAATTTGGCAAAATAAGGAGTAGTAGGGCGTGTGAGGGCTCAGACATACGAACTACAGCACATATTTTTTCTTGGGGCAAGAATTTACAAAGCTGCAAGTTTATTTTTCTTTGGGAATAAAAGAGCATCAGGCGTGGAGTATTGAGGGAAAAGAAGATAACAAGCAGCACACAATTGAGTTTTGGCTTGGAAGCTTCAACGTGGATATACCTTGAATAAGAGAACAACTTGATATTTTTATCTTTGCGTTTTGGGCATGATTTATTTGATGATATTGATGTGATATAGTTCATATAATTATCGAACTCGCATTTTGTGTTTTTTGTAGTTCACTAGATGTTTTTGGATTGGATGAAAAATTTTGTAATTATTTTATTCTAGTGGAATTTTGGCATGTGGCCTTAGTCTACAAGTATTTTAACTTGTAGGCTAAATTTTGAATTTTCGTGTTATTTATTTCCGCTGCGTATTTTATTTCTGTTTGTGTGACAATCTGGAATTTTCGTACCTAAAATTCTTACACTCGCCATTGTACCTGCAGAGCACGGATCATGATTTTGAAGAAACTGAAATGATTCATATCAGTCACAGTAAGAATATTAACATGTAACAGATTACAGACTTTATTCTACTTTGTTGACAAGGGGTTTTTATTTTTACTTATTTTATTATTATTATTATTTTTTTATTTTGGTTTTTTTGCTATTCTTCCAACTTGAATTCGTCGAGCCCTGACTTATAGATTGGGCGCATGAAGAACTTTGATATATAGTCCCGCACTGTAAACTCCTTGTAGCGTGGGCAATTATTTTCCGATATCAACTCTTTTATGGGGCCGTATATCCTTCCACTTAAAGCATCACCGGTAAAGAATCCCGCCACCGAGATTCTTGGCCCTACCCGGTTGGCAAGAACTCGGTGATCCGGGCTTACAAACTCGTCATTTGAAATGATCTGCACAAGTTTGATAAATTTACCACCAAAACAAAAACTAGAAAAGTAAAAACTCTTTCAGTTTTTTTTTTTTCTGTAAAAGTACCTGCAACATATCTCCAATGTTGACTACCAAGGCACCAGGCAGGGGTTGTACATTGATGTACTGCTCCTGATGCAGGACTTGGAGGCCCCCGATTTGATCCTGCAAGAGAATTGTCAAAAAGGAAGGGTCTGTGTGCTTACTGGTGCCGATGGTTATGTCTGGTTGGGGACAAGCCGGGTAATAGTGCCCGATAAAAGTGCCATTATTGCCACATTCCAGGGCTCTCAGGTGGTTCGGTTTGAGACCAAGTGCCTCTGATAATAACTTAAACAAGGTTTCTCCTACTTTTCCCACTTGGACCAGATACTTGATTGTTGAGTCCCTGGTATAGAAAGCGTCTATAATCCTTCTCTTGTTTGCTTGTAGTTGTTTAATTCAATATGAGGTGTTATATGTGTAATTTAGCCCCAAAAGATTCTTAGATTATTATATCGATAGATATTAAAAACTTTTTAAGACTTTAGACATCCTGTTAGTATTCAATTCAGATTTGTTAAGACTTTTAAACCTTTTTAAAAGTCTTGGCGGTATTCAATTGAAATTTTAAAAAGTCTTACAAAATCATAAAGTATTTAACTTATTTGAAACTATGATTTATTAAGACTTTTTAAGATTTGGTAGGATTTCTGAAGAAAAAATCTTATATGAAATTTCAATACAAATCCCACCTCATGGCTTAAGATTTCACAAAATTCTTTCAAAATCCAAAAATATTAAAAAAAATCTCAATATGTCACTTGAAATCCCAATTGAATAAAAATAGAATATCCCCATTATCAAGACTCAATATTTGAGTTTACTTCACAAAAAGCTGCTAAATGTATGCAGAACAATTATAAAACTGCGGAAGGTAACTTGGAAATTGAGAAGCGGTTTTGAGTCATCTGGGAAGAAGTCTATTGCTTTTTGGTTTGTACCTGAAGACTCTCTCTATATCTGTGGGAGTTTATTTGGAATAATCAAAATCATCTATCAAATGGATTTTCAATCAGTCAACATACAGTCTTCCCACCTTCACAATCACACTCGGATGCATTTCAACATCAATTAAAAAAAAAAAAAATAATAACTTTTACCTGCAGATTTCAGGCAACTCATCAGACTCAATACTCCCAAAATTCTGCACAGAAATCGTCAACGAGTCCCTCCAGTTGGCCGCACGCGACCGATACAAATCAATATTACTGCCAAATCTCACTTTCCGCATCATATCGCGAGTGTTGAATTCCCTTTTCACCTCGCCGTCTTGTTCGTGGAACTTCCTTATCCCGTCCAGCATATTATCCAGGACTTCCTGGGATATCCCGTGATTGACGAGCTGGAAAAAGCCCCATTCGCTCGATGCCCTTTTCACTTCACCAATAATCTTCTCACGCGCACAAGCGTCTTCGTTGACCCCACTAAGATCTATAATGGGGACTTGAAGATTGGATTGGATGTGATTTTTCTCCTGGGCTAGCTCATCCGGTGGCCTGATAAATATTCTGGGCACGGTTTTGATGCCGGAGTCGATCAAACCTTTGACCCCTGTTTTTGTTTCTTCGAAGGCTTTTAGCTCGCTTAGGCGTGCTTGGTCTTGTGTAGATTCTAGCAAGGACTGGTTGAGGCTGGACATGGTGTTCATGTTTTCTTGTTCTGGAGTTTCGGAAAATTAAGGGGTAACTAGTAATCTTTCTTTGGTTGAATTGTGTTGAAAGGATNTTTTTGAAACAGCAGAGTTTATAGATAAAAACACATTGTTTATAGATAAAAACAATTAGTAACAGTCGACTAAAGCAGTTATAGCATTGAATTCAGATAGAGACTTATACGATGAGAACGCATGTAGCCTATAACAACTACACTAGATGTATCCACAAGATTAATTGACAATACTAAGCTCCCACAATTGGAGAATTTTACCTCCAATCATGAAGAAAACCCCTAAATAAATACAAAAACAAACAAAGCAAAAAACATTAGAACAATAGCATAAGTAGAGTAAAGCCCTCCCCTCCAGCCGGCAAGCCACTCCGCAACAACACCACGAAACCGACACCCAGAGGCGACTGTTTGTCCCACTTTGTTGCATTTTTCGTGTTTATTTTATCTTTCCTTTTAGGCCGTTTCTTTAGTTTTTAGTTCGTTTCGTGTTTTATTATGTGTTTTCCTTTATTTTGAGTCTTTAGGTGTTTTCGTTTGTTTTTTCGGTTTTCTTTTGTGTTTTGTCGTTTTTGGTGTGTAGGTCAGGAGCTTTGGGCAAACTTTCTCTTCAGGAAAAATTGTTTTCGAGAGCATAATTAATTAGATGGGTTCGTTAGCTATGCGTAGGAAAAAACGGAACTCAGTTCCGAGTTCAAACGAGCTCAAACGAGGCCAAAACGTAAGATGGTGCAGTGCAGCTCGGGTCGCGACCCGCGACCGCGCCCGTGACCCGCGACGTACCCCACGCCCAGCGCCCAGCGCGCGCGACTCGCGACCGAGCTTGTCGCGCCTCGTGAAAAAAATAGAGACGCCCCAGCCCTGTGACCCTGCTGACTCGCGACTCGCGACTGGGTCGACCCTGTTTTTATTTTTGCTCGTTTTTACTTTTTTTAGCTCCGTTTTTCGAGCACTATATATCAAAACGATCCTTAGACTCGTGGGAACAATCCCCAATATTGTTTTTTCACTTTCTCCTTCTCTAAAACTCGGATTTAGATCGTTCTTTTTGCTCAATTATCTCTTTACTTTTCCGGATTTAGCTTTGTCATTGGATTCGAATATTGGATTTCCATTAATCGTAAGTTTCTCTTTTCATCTAATCCATGAATATGATGGCTTTGATTGTTGAGATTGTTGATGTTGAATTCCATATGAGTAGCTAATTCGTTTCACTAGGGATAGGGGATGATGATGATGTTTAGAATTTAATTGTGATTATCATGCTTGTTAATCATTCAATTTATGCGAGTTGTGCTTAACTAGGGTTTACAATTCTCGTGCATTGAATGTTGAATATTGTCGAAGAGTGACACTTCGATTTGCGGTTGATTTTCAATTGAATTTTATTCGTTCTTGTGTGATGTGTTTAAATCCAACGAACTAGTTAACAATCGTCTAGGATAATTAATCAACACTTAAAACCGAAAGGGGAGGAGTGATATCTAGGCTAACATGAAATAGACTTGTTCGGAAACGTATTGTCTATGTGTTGGATGATTTGTGTGATTTACCGTCTATGTTACCCTCTTGTTACGAAGAGTTATTGAGGACTATCTCTAGACGTTAGGTTGTTCAAATCATTTAACCAAATGATCTTAGCTTGATATTTGCATTGGTTAGAAAATCATCATCCCCAACTCCTTAGCTTCTTATCCTTTGATCTTCATCTTGGCTTTTAAATTCGATTTTGCATTGTTTGAATTCTCTTTCGTAGTTGATAATTAAAAACCACTATCTTGATTAGAGCGTTTAGGATTTATTTTTCTTTTATGTGTTATCAACATCATTCCTAGATTCTGAACCGCCTTCCTCGAGAGATCGACTCGGGGAATGAATCTTTCGATTCGGTACTTGGTAAAAATATATTTTGCTACAACAGCGACCACTCACACTGGTAGAAACCCAGCCAGAGTCGCAGATCCAAAAACTCAAGTACATCTACAGCTAACTAGATTTGTACCAACCGTAATAGATTCCTCTCCTAAGTGGAACACCCTCAGACCAGCAATCGGAGACCCTTATCTACCTCCACCACCAATACCACCGGCGAGCACGGGCCTAAACCACGACCAGAGTCGAATCCCGCTCCCACCGGTGCAACCCATCGACCCAACACTAGGAAAGAACGGGAAACGAGAGAGAAGATGGCGCTGACCTCAACCTCGACCACCATAAAGGGTCATTGGAGCCAACAACTCGACCTCTCTGCAGAAGCACCGCTACAAGAACCCTGTTGATATGGGATAACCACACCTGGTCGATTAGACCGAAGAAGCAACTGGACCAAACTGGATCAGCCATCAGGTTGAACGGAGAGTGAAGACTCCATAGTTAGAAGAATCCACAGCTTGAAGAGGACACTAGTGACGCAAAGGGTGCCAGTGGGTCTAACAGGAGCCTCTGGAGGGCCTAGTGGAAGCTCGACCTAAAAAAACCTAGTCGAAGGATCGATTGGGTAGGTGTAATGGTGGAGCTCGATATCCACAATACTCTACCTCGAGGTAATAGGGGTCAAACGCCTAATAAATAAGATCGGGGGATAAGAAGGAATCTTATTTAATTAATGTTGCACATGGGCTAGGACACGCAACATTAACGTATTGGCTTACCCTTGTAACCATCTGGGGTAGTACGGGCAGTTGAGGCAGCCAGCTCATCATATCCAGGCAGCTTTCTAGAAGTGGGTAACCCACTCCTACAAATAAGAGTGTGGTGTGCAATTCTAGGATTACATTGATTATTATACTCATGTATTGCACTTCATCTTTTTCAAGTGCTAACTTAAGTATTAGAGACTTTTCACTAGAACCCCCTCCAATATGAGAGTTCTGCAGGTTCGAGGACGTTCAACCTGCAATCAGCTCAAGATCCAAACATTTCCATTCTTTCCTAGTTGGTCGGAGGTCTTTTCTATACCATTTTGGCTTCGTCTGTGTGACTTTATTCAAAAAGTTGTATTCATCATATCCATGGCAGGCGAAATTCCCAGGAAGAATCTAGAGTCGACATTCGATGATGCGTGGACAACCACACGCCCGTTCAGAGCTGGCCCTCCATCGGGCTTCTTCGGACCTTCTTAGACCCCGGTGACCCTGACGCCTCATCCTACGGGCTTAGCTGTTGTAGGCTCGAGGCGGGCTTAGGAGGCTCGAGAAACGCAAGTAGCAGGTGTTCAAACCCAGGAACTGGTAGATCCGGCTAATGTGCAACCACGAGGAGTTGTGGTCCAAAGGATGGGGCCACCGAGGGCAGAGGCGGAGCAAGCGGGACACCAGCTGGTTATGTTGTCTGAGGGAGGAGCTCGATCGGATGATTGTTAATGTCCTGGCGGCGGGGGCTGTGCAACAGGCCACTCATGACACTTCTCAGGCTAACACTATGCCTACCACGGTGGTAGGAGCACACCAACAGGAAACGAAGTAAGATGAGCCGAGTTACATGGGAGATGTAGCCCGACAAGCCAACTGGCCGAGCTCGAGGACACGCCTTCTCGAAGGAGATCTTGGAGGCGGCATTGCTGAACAACTTCTGGGAGACCAGTTTGACTTACAATGGGTCGACTAACCCGTCGAGACATGTTAGATGTTTTGAGAATATGGTTATGTTGCATGGGTATTCTGATCCCCTGAGTTGTAGCGCGTTTCTACCGACTTTGAGGGGAGAGGCGCTGGATTGGTTTCACCAGCTCCCCCCTAGGTCAGTAAACGATTTTGAGGACCTTTTGAGCATGTTCTTGAACCAATATGCTATTGCTATTGTTGTAGCACAAATTATTATTTTTTACCGAGTACCGAATCGAAAGATTCGTTCCCCGGGTCGATCTCTCGAGGAAGGCTGTTCGGAATCTACTTTGGTATTGATTGCACAGAAAAAGAAAATAAATCCTAAACACTCTAATCAGATAGCAGTTGGGATGAACTATTAACTAAGAAATAAAATAAAAAGCAATAATCTACCTAAAAATGCGAATGGAACAAAGATGGAGAAGCTAGGGAATCGGGGATAATTAATTCAAGTTCTAGCAAAGCCGGGCAGTCAATTGTTCGGTTCGAGATTGACGCTCTCGCTTAAACATCTAGCGGTTCGCTCCCCATAACTTTTCGTAACAAGGGATTGAACATAAACGAACAAGCTCGAGCATACAACACAGGCCAATTATCCCAATCCCATTAACTTTTCGTAACAAGGGACGGGTCATCGACAAGCACGTATTTCAATCTCAACCCATAGATTATTCAGCTACGAAATCATCTATCTCATGCGAGCCTAGGTCTACGACTTCTCCCCTTTCGGTTCTAAAAGTCGCTAATTCAATTAGAAGGTGATTAATCAACTAATCATATGGAATCAAAAAACCCTAACTCGACAAATCAATATTCAATTGTTACCAATTGCAAGATCGAAGTGTCACCCTTCGATTATATCAAACTATCAAGCACAAATTCATCAATTCCTAATCAATTCAACTCACATAAGCATGAACAATCTTGAGCCCGACAAATGCACGTTAAACAAGAACAGTCATCTCCTATCCCTAGCAATCAGAATTAGCTACGCAAATTGAATTCAACACAATAATTCATTTCTCCTAATTTAACCATTATTCATGAATTAAACAAGAGAGAAAAGAAACTTACCAATAATCTCAAGTCCAAATGTTGAATTCTAATTACAAGCTTAATCCCTAACTAAGAAGAAGAAGAAGAAAAATGGAAAAGAAAAGTGAAAAGAACGAAGAAAAATGAAGAAGAAGAAGAAGAAGAAGAAGAAGAAGAAGGGAAGGAGAAAGGAGTTTCGTGTTTTTACGGGCTAGGGTTCATCCCCAGAAGGGGAGAAATTCATTTTGATCGAGGTTCCGTACGTGTATTTATATCCCAGGTGGTGTCACGGCGTGAGATTATGAGGCGCGGCGTGAAGAAATACTAGTGGCGCGACGTGAAGGAGCTTCGCGGCGCGGGGCTTGGAGGAGTCTTGCACTCTGTCGGGGCGTGGTGCTTGCCACGAGGATTGCCGGGGCGCGAGGCAAAGGAGTTCCACGGCGTGGGATGTCTTCACGGCGCGGAGGGAGCTGGTGTCGCGCCGCGGAGGTGTTGTCGCGCCGCGAAGGCTTGTTGTGCCGCGCCGCGGAGTGTTGTCGCGCCGCGGCGCGCGGGGCTGCTGGTTGGGCTACGCGTTTCGGGCTCTTCGGGCTCGTTTGGGCTCGTCCGAACTCGGAATTGAGTTCCGTTTTTTCCTATGCGTTGCCAATGAAGTCCTCTACGCAATGGTGCTTACAAATCCAATTTATTCTTGAAAACCTATTCTCCCAAAGCTTTTGACTTGAATTTGGCGGCTTCCGTGCGCGACTTCACTTCTCGGGCTCGTTTGGGTTCGTTTGGGCTCGGAATTTGATTCCGCTTTTTCCTGTGTGTTCCCAACGAACTCCTCTATCTACTTATGCTTGTCCAACTGACTTTTGCCCAAAATTCGATCTTTCCGAAGCTTTCGACCTACACACCATAAACGAGGAAAAACCGAAAGAAACATACGGAAAACACATAGAAAACCAAAATAGAGATAAACACACAATAAACTATAAAAACGAATAAAAACCAACAAAAAGACCTAAGACGGGGGAAAAAGAAAGATAAAATCAGTACGAAAAATGCAACAAAAATAGGACAAACAGCTATTGCTCAAGAGAAATATTAATTATTGTCCATGATATTTGAATTTATTTCCTAGTTTATTGTTGGCTTTAATTGTGCATGTGCATAATTGATTTCTTACTTTATGTGCAATAATAATTAAAAGGAGCATGCTTAGCAAAATCCCTTAGTTATAATACTAAGTGATTAATGGAATTAAATAAATTAAGACCCCCTTACTAGTTTGCAGGTGAAGTGGCTAAAATTTGCGCGTTGGTATATTGGTCTTCCTCCCGTTGGAAAAATTTTAACCACAGTTCACTAGACAAACTTCTTGCAGGATGGTAGTTTAAACTTCCTCTTAGCAGCTCGCTCATGCTGCTTTCTGGCACTATCTAAATCCCTATCCCTAGGACCTTTTGAAATCATATGAATTATTCCCCTCTTCAGTGGGGCCTCACTCTCCCTTTCCATGGTCACGAGTTGTTGACCAGTTGGTTCCCCTATGCTTCTTAGTGGTCCCATGGGCAGCTAGATCTGACTCGTCAGTGGTGGAGCCATAACCTATTGGATAGATCTGACCTCCCTCGGGTTGCTCGAACATGTTGCTGTAAGGGGGACCACCGATGAGCCTTATAGGCCTATAGGATGGGGCGTTGGGGTCACCGGGGTTTGAGACAGCCCGGAGAAGTCTAACGATGGACCTGCTCCAAACGGGCTTGTGGTAGTCCACCCATCATCAAACGCGTGCTCTAGATTTTTTCTGGGAATCTCACTCACCATTGGTTAGATCTGGTTGATGGCTTCCTGAACGAAAATTTCCACAGACGGCGCTAAATAGTATGCAAAAAACCTCGAACCGTCTTGGTTCGACCTGGATTGCCTTCCTTACCGGTTGATGACCTTCGATACATGCACAAACTCAATATCGAGTGGTTTTCCGGCGTAGAGCCTCCGACACTCAAGTTAGAACGTGAAAAGGACGATGAACATTAGTGAGTACTATAAATAAGTATGTAGAGAATATAGAGAATGTAATGTATGAATGGATATACCTGTTCAAATAAGTATATAGAGAGCATAGAGAACGTAATGTATGAATGGACATACATGTTCATACTGCTCGAACTGCCCAATTTTGTTAGGCCACGTGGCCCTATCCACGTGTATTTCTTATCCTTATAATATTCCTTTTTATCCAGTAGTATGCTCTATTAGACAGTCTAATCGTGCGACCGACCAAGATTACCTCAAGTTAGTGCTGCCAATGTGAGCTCATACACCCTGCTCATCTGATCGATCCTACGATCAGTCGTGCCTTCAGGTTGAACTTCAACCAGGCAATCTGAGGAGGCTAACTCGACCTGCTGGTGCTCCTTCGACCCAACAACAACATCCTTATCGACCTAAGAATTCTTCGACTTGCAGTGTCTTCGATCTTTGTTCAACCTACCGGTTCACCCGGTTCAATCAGGTTGTTTCTCGGGTCAAGTCGACCCGGTATAGTATCCTATATCAGCTCTCATCTGAAATGGCCAGACTCAGCCCGGAACCGGCTCGTATGCTCTGGTCATTGAATCGGAACGTGCTACAAACAGGCCGATTCTGAGTCTTAATTTTTTTTTTTAACCCGCCAATTCCGGGCCTAGCCAGACGTTCATTTTTTTTTTTTTCCTGTAAATCGGCCGGGTGCCAAATGGCCATGTCTAACGATATAATATACACTCTCATTGTCTTTTTCAAATATTCAAATCAAATGTGGTGGCAGGAATCACAGTTGATATCAAAAACTCTTTAGTATAGCATCCACACCACAGTAACGTTAACAAAATGATGCACACCAGCTCTTTTCCCATTTTTGCTGAAGATATCATATCTCGAGTAAAAAATTATGGAATGGGCACGCGATCACTAAAAAATAATTGGACATTACAAAAAATCAAAATAACTTCCCATCGTGCAATCATGACCAAGTAAATTCCCAGGAATAGAATCAATGAGATCAAACTAGTACATCGCAATCAAACCGGAAATAGCATTTGCACGATTGAAAAAAAAGGAGTCGAGAACAAACCACAAAACAAGCAATGCGATTCTCAATATTTCTTAATAAATATCCAAGTTGTAGCTGGAGTTTTGACAACCATTGCCCAAGCTAACATAGTGGGAAAATGAAGTCATGATAGATCAATAAAGAAAAATCATGCATTACCGCAGCAGCTAGGTATAAAATTCTACAAAATAGTTATCGGGTAAAACTGTAAGAAACCATCCACAACTCATTATCAAATACCCACTTAGTTTAATTTGTTTTGGCTTTAGCAGACTTCTTCTTAGGCGACCTCCTAGGCATTGAATTCTTCATGCCGATAAAGAACAGCAGGCCCCCAAGCAACGCCAAATTCTGGTCCAAAGATCAAAATAAGAACGGTCAACTCAGATAAATATAGGGAGTCAAACAAAAAAAATATATAAATAAGAGCATGAATAGGGGAATCTCATTTTCAGTCACTATTTTCCATTTTTACACGAAAAAGCTCAGAATCACATTTGTGTTTTTTATTACTGCGAACACTCCTACATTACCAAACACATTAAACTTGCTTCGAAAATCTTTTAACTATAAAAGAAAAGAAAAAAATAGAAAAACCAGGAACATATATTTCGGATTGAATAAGCACCTGTGTGAATTTGACAAAAAGCTGAGCAAACTCTTTCTTGTCAGCATCGTGATTATAGAAATCATATAAGATGGGTACCGAGATTGCTTGATGCAGAAGCTGGGTATTGATCGGCGAAAAAGCAAACCCATGAGTAACAATAATAGAAATCACAAAATCAGTATATAAACAAAGGACTGGGCTTCATACACGTACCAATATTGAAGCTCCAAGAGAGCTGCCAAAGACAAACAGGAGGCTTCCAAGGGCTTTCACGGCAATGGCGCCCAAAATCAAATTTTTCATCTGTCGTGTAATATTTTACACATTATTGGGAGTGACATAATGGCATGTGTGTCATATATATATAATCTTATATTAATAATGGAAATACAAAATAATCTACTTACATCAACATGAGGCACTTGCAGTCCAGTCTGCGTTGTAACATGTTTGGCGAAGACACTGAATTTAGGCCTCAAATTCTTTGCTGCTGGCCCACCATCGGCTCCAAATTCATTGAACCTACAAACACAAATGTTTTATGATAAATAAAAAGTGTTTCACATATTATAAGCTACTAATCATCCTAACATGATAGTAATAGGGATTTAAGGAAATAATGGGTCAAGGCAGAGTTACTCTACGTTTGTACAGAATGATTCTTAAATCAAAACGAAATGGCTTGGTAAAACTGAAATTAATCAAACATAGAGTTGAAAGTTCAGTAAGCAACACGGCAGAAGAAAAGGAACTGGAATTTGAACCCTTATATATCCATCAAATCTAAATAATTCAATCTTTTGGAAACACACAGTAGCAACTATCAGGGCAAAGCTATCAACAAATATAATTTTGACGTTAATCATATGGCTGATTGTTCTCATATCATAGAAGGAGAAAGAAAGAAGAATGAGGCAGTAAACTTCAGATCCAACAATGAAAAGATCAAATTCTAAGAACATCGTGAAAAAGTTAGCATTCGGACAATGTCAGAAAATGTAAATTATCCATTGTTATACTCTTGCAGTTGAATGTTTCGGTTATATCCCTCGCTAACTTAACAGTTGAATGTTTCGGTTATATCCCTCGCTAACAACTAATCTGTTAAGCTGAGCATAATACCACATATATCAGAATACTAAATTCGCGACATCAAGTTAGCTCAAAAAGAATTGAGCACCGCAAGATCCATAGTCAATTATAATCCCATATATGGTCATATATTAGAAAAGTTCTAATCCTGCATATAAAAGATGGTTTTACAGACGCATATGGTACAGACTGGAAGAATAATACTCTATAGATGGAATTTGCACATAATTGCACCCAGTTATAGCCAACTCTTACAGGTACAGTATATATTTTCATTGACAAACCAGATCCAACACAAAAACANACCTATGCAACCACAAATATAAGCATGAGAAGACAAAGAAACAGATTTGAGGCACAAAGTAAAATAAATAAAACGAAACAGAAGAAAGGGAAGTAGGTCTTACTCTTGATAAGCAGAGAGAACAAACACAGAGACGAAGAGCAGTCTACCGAGAAAGGACATGAACGCCATTGCTGTAGGGAGCTCAAAAACCAAGGTCCCCTGCTCTCGCTTTCTCTCGAGCTGACAAAGATTTGTCTCCCTTGATTTGGGGCAATTCAAAGGACGGAGATTTCGTCAGATGGGTGAGAGCGGAGAGATTCGAGGAACCTGGCAACAATGGACTGGTGAGAATATGTAGCTGAGAAAATGGCGAGAAAATGTGTTAAATTGTGATTTTTCTTTCTTCGTTTTGACCCATTGAAAAAATAATTGTTATACGTGCATTGATGAGTTGTACGTAGTGCTGTCAAAGTGGTTGTGTAGCCGTGTCCATGTAGGCTAAGGGTTAATTGCGGATTGCACTTTGCACCCACCGATTTTTCAAAGTGAAATTATAGTATATTTGCATAATGTATGTACTGTGTTTAAAAGTGAAATTATTGTAATGCTTCTATTTTTTGTTGTTTTTAGCTTTTGGACTCTGGTGTTGTGGGGTTTTCCTGTCTTGGATTTGGATATTAGGTTGTGTGTGTTCTGTTTCTTTTTCCTTCAATGTGAATGGTTCAGTGTTAGACTATGTTTGGTAAGCTAAATAAGTTAGTTTATAGTTTATTTGGTTAACTTATAAGCTTCATGTATTTAAATAAGTCATGTTTGGTAGGACGAGCTTTTTCAAAAAGCTCGAGCTTATCTCATAAGCTACTTTAGGTAGCTTTTCAAATAAGCTATTTGAATTTTTTATTTCAGCTAGCTTATCAGCTAATTTTACCAAATACTTTTATCATATAAGCTAGCTTTTCAGTTATAAGTCATAAGCTATAAGCTATAAGCTATAAGCTAAAAAATTACATATAAGCTATAAGCTAGCTTATCAGCTAGTTTTACCAAACATAGCCTTAGGCTATTTGCAACCAACTAGGAGTCTAAGACAATAATAAAATTGTTTTTTAATATTAATTAGAAAAATAAAATTATTTATCAATCAATATATTTATATTTCAAGTAGTTATATGATATATATTATAAAAATTACTATAAAATTACACATGTAAGTCGCACAAGTAACAAATGTCATTGTAAAACATTTAATAATGATTTTTTTTTTGTAAAAAAGTAAATAAAATTTAAAATAATTTTTCTCATTAATTTTAAAAGTTAAGAATAATTTTTTAACAAACACCCGTATAATACAAAAGTGTTGTATGGTTGAGTACCTGAATATATACTAAGTAAGAGTATGAATTTTTAATAAACAAACACCCTCTTGTTATGTTTTTCATTTTCACATTTAAGGAATAAAGAACGAGTTGTATCATAACAAATGGAAACTAAATTCTTGCATTTTATTTTGACAAAAGCTTTTTGAAAATGGAGCAAAATCGTTTTTGGGCTCATCCAACTTCTAATCGAATAAAGGACACCGTATATCCTTTTAAGAAAAACGTTTACTTTAATGATATGGCTTATCAATTAAGTCAATAATGCCTTTTATGTTTCCATTTTATACCCCAATTAGCAGTTTTTGTAGGCGATCAGTTTTTCTTTTCTCTCTCTTCCATTATATCTCTTTTCTCGTCAATCTTCTCTAGTTTTTTTCTTTCCTCTATCTTCTTCCTTCTTCCTTTTCAAAAAGTACAGACCCCATATCTCTAATTATTTCTCATTTTTCACTTCGATTTCTTACCCATAACATACTCACATAAAATACTCTTCCCCCAAATTTCTGAATTCCTTTTTTCTCTCCGCTCTCAGAATTATCTGTTCTAAAAAGGGCGACCGACGTTGACCAACATGCTGCGCTCATGACAGTGGCAAACGTACAGATCTGAGGGAGCAACTTTCAAATTAGTGACAGTGGCACCTGGGACCGGTGCGAAGATCAGACCGCGAATTGACGGCAGACCGATGCCGGATGGAATGCCCCAATCAAAGGTTTGTGTTCGGCCCTTTTTCTGAGTGGCGACGACCAGCGAACAGATACCAGAAATGGTATTTTTTTATGTTGATTTCTTCTTATGGTGATTATTGTTACGGATGGTAATTTTTTTTTTTTTTTTTTTTTTTGGTTTTGGTTATGCTAATAATTGTTACAGGGAATATTGTTATGTTTGATTTGTATTGTTTTGGCATTCAATATCTCATAAAACCCACCTAGAAAATTGTATCTTTGCAAAAGTTATAATTTTTATTTTTATTTTTTATTTGTAAAAATTACATTTGTCCCGTATGTGTTGCTATTTTGATTCTTTAATTGTTAAAAGATACTTGTGGATTCATTGTATGGTGAGTTATATATCCTATGTCTTCGTATGTGTAATTATTGTTTGTTTTTTTATTTTTTTAGTGGTATGTTAGAGTCTTTGTTCTTGGTTTATAATTTAGTGGTGCTCTGTACAAGGCAATTGCAATTTTTACTCTAATCCAAAATTGTTAATTCTTTTATTGTTAATATAAAGTTGTTTTCATATTGTTTTAAGGACGTTATAATGTTGTTGTTTTGTTACGTATTTTTATATGTTTTTTCATAATATATATTGTTAATTTTTGAAGTTACAAAACAACTATTTGTGTTGTTTTTTAGTTAAATTAATTGTTATATACGTGTATAACTAGCTGATATTTTTTTTGGTGTTCTTAGGCATTCATTTTGAAAAGAAGAAGAGCAGGAAGAAGAGAGGGAACGCGTTAAATCAGACGAAGAAGAAAATGAAAAGAAGAAAAGGTAGAAGAGAGGGAACACGTGAAAAGGAAAATAAGAGAGATAAAGAAAGAGAAGGAAGAAAAGAAGATAACCGTTAAAACAATTAATTAATTATTAGGTTAATTGTTGTGTTAGTTTTTTGTAACTTCCCATCGTAACCGTTTGCATTGTTTTGAAATGAATGGATTAACTTCCCATTTTAAGGAAATAATTTTTAATAGGAAGTTATTTATGTCTTTTAGCCCTTCTAATCAGCCCCACTATAATGTATTGGATCCCATGAGTTTAGTCTATCCATAAATCAAAAACGTTCAAGCCCAAACAGTAATTAGGATCCGGTCCTTTAAGACATCAAAGGAAAAGTCAAACTTTTGTTTAAATCCCTAACTTGGGTTTTTAACTTTCTATAGAACGACTTTTGTTCAAATCCCGCGCAAAGTTTACAGACGGTAAATTGCGTTTCCGCTCCATTTTTTCAAAACTTTTTATTTATTTTTATTATTCGGCGCCAAAATAAGAACGCTTGATAAAAGCAAATAATCCCGCGAAACTTTGACCATTATTGGCGCCAACCTCCGTTTTCACCACCCTAATATGCTATCCGCCATCTTCCGACTTCCCTTCCCCACTCATTCTTGATTCACCACTTTATCTACTTCATTTTTTTTTTTTTTTTNCACCTAAAGTGTTTTCCTTTCCGCTCTTACATCTTCAGTTCCCCCTTTTCACTGCCTTTTATTGTTTCTGTATATTTTTTATCTGATCTGGGAGAAAAGCCATGGGAACAATAGTGAAATCAGAATCCCTGATGACTAGAATAAACAACGTGAGGTCGATTGTCGGATCTAGGATTGCAGAAAGCGACATTTGCGAAGCTCTATCGCAATCCAATAACAACGCATGCGAAGCAATCTGTCTCATTCTCAATTCACCTTCGTTTTTCCAGAATTCCCATTTAACCGCGCAGAAAACTCTCACCTCTACTGGTGGCTCGAGAATCTCCACTTTACAGATAAACCCACCCAAGAATCTCGAAGAAGGGGAAAAGGGGAAATTTTCAGAGGGGTTGGCTGTGGTGAAGCAGGAAGAGCCTCTATATGTTGTCGAAAATGTTGAAGCTAAGGGAGACTTAGGCGGTGAAAAGGAAGGCCGTGTGCTCGGAGATTGTGAGACGGGTTTAGGGTTTCGGGTGGCTGAAAAAGTGAAGGAAGAATGTGATTTAGGGTTTCCGAGTGGTGGTGAAAATCAATCCTCCTCGGTTGGGAGGAGAAAGCTATTGCAAGATTCTGAAAAGAAGGTAGAGGAAAAACAGGACATGGATATGGGTGCTGGAGTGACAGAGTTTGTGAAAGTAAAAGAAGTGGGTTTTGTCAATAACGAGGTTTCTAGAGACGAAAGGAATGTTTTAAGTGGTGTTAGATCATCTGGGTTAAAGCAAGATTGCGTCAATCTGCACAGCCCTGTTAAAAGAGAGGAAAATCAGGACATGGACTTAGATATGAGTGTTGGATTGGGGTGTGTGAAAGTAAAAGAAGAATGCCCTGTAGATTTTATGGAAGTAGAGACCTTTGAAGATGTAAAAGTGAAGGGAGAAAGTAATGTGGAAAATCTCGTCAAGAAAGAAGATGGGAAAAAGAATGAACACGGAAGTGTGATTGGAGTAAAGGACAAAGTGAATGAGGCTCTGAATGTACGGCCACTTAGTGCGAGAAAATTATCTGATGAAGATTGTAGGATATTTCAAAGGAGATGCAGTAATAATGGTAAGCCTAAAAGTGAGAGAGTTGAAGATAAGAGCTTAAGTTCAGTGGTGATTGAGGATGGGGATTTTCCCGAGGATCCCGACTGGTTGTTGGTGGGTAGGACAGTGATTACTGGGCTCTCAACAACAAAAGGGAGGAAATTGGTGAATAATGAGATTGTGCATTTTGCTTTTCCAAATGCCAGTGGAAGGAGTAAGAGCAGCACTCATTTTATGAGTGCAAAGGCTGCTAATGCTGCTTCTAGCATTGTTCGTTTCTCAACAAAAAGATCTGGAGAGGTACATCTTTTTGAGAAATTAACTGATCTTATTTGATTTATTGTTCACTGTATTGCTTATTTGTTGTGGTTTCATATATTCTTTGATTGGCACTGTATTTTGTGTCTGGGATTTTAACCCATGGCAGTCTTGCTTAAAGGATAATTTAAATTGTAATTAATGCTGCCTTTTACTCTTAATTGGTTAGACATTTCATGCTAAGTGTTCAATGCCAATAATATATTGTTACATTTGTGGGTTGATCTCAAAGCTTCATGTAAAATGCTATTGGTTTCTTGCATTCATTATTTGTCTTGCTTCTTAATTTGGGTTTTTGCCGGTTGCATTCATTATTGTTACATTAGTGCTCTACTAAAATGAACTCTGGTATTCTTGTTTGGGCTTGTACTTGTCAGATTGGACGTTTGCCAATGGAGTGGGCAAAATGCCTCGTTCCACTCGTGAATTCATCAAAAGTGAAAGTTCTTGGCCGTTGTGTAGCTGCTCCTGTTAGTCTTTTGTTGATGCAAGAGATTATGTTGTATGTGAGGTAATAAAAAAAATTGTGGAAGGGTCTAATTTTAATCCAGCTGAAAGAAATGGTCTCAGTAGATTTGCATTGCAATATTTATTTTATGATCT